TGACCACGAGCATATCGTAACTTTTACGAAGCTGCCACGTAGCACAAAAGTCCAGTAAAAAAAAGAAAAGGCGCGTATGACTTCCTGTTAGCACATTCTATGATATGGGAAAGGATTGAAAGGAGGAACAGAAATGACTTTCAGGCATCTCAGTTGTGATATGCGAAAAATGTGCATTAAAAACTGAATTTGTCGTAAACTTTGTGCATGATGCACGTGCTGGATGGTTAAGTTGATTTACCTTTTCATTGTAACAATTTATCAGTACATTTCATTTACATTTTGATCAGTAACTTTTGCTTATAGGTATTTAATATTTTGGATAAGTTTTGTAAAGGGGAACTCCAAAATTAAAATAAATTACAACATACACAAAATAGAAATTACGATTTAAGCAAAATCACTGATGAAAATTTCTATGAGGTAACCTAGAATATTAATTAATTAAATTGAGAATTCTTTCAATAGTGTTAGTTTTTACTCACTCTGAATTTGAACGTTGTGTAATGTTTTAAGGAATATGCATGACAGGCAATGCATTTTAAAATTAATTGCTATATAAAATAGTTAATGTGTATGGTTAATTGCTTATTTTAAATTCCATATAATTACTGAAACTCTTGTGTCAAGTAAAGTCAGCAGTCAGCGACTAATATTTTGTCATCCTAATACATGAAAAACTAAAGACATTTTTAAAAAATGATGTTGTGCTGAAAATTGCATAAAACTGCAATTAATAAATTAAAAACACAAGAATGAAAACTTATAATGAGACTGTAAAAGACTATATAAAACATCCATAATAAAGCATTTAAAATTTCATAATTAACTATACTAAAGACATCCATAATAAAACTTTTATTTTCTCAGTCTTCTGTCCCTATGTGCAGTGATCTGTTCTAATTTTTAAAAAATTAGAGAATTGCAAAATTCTCGGTTTCACAAAGCAACCTTGGCACTGCCCTCCATGTACACATGGATATGTTTTAACTTACAATACAATGCTCTTTTTCATTAGCAGATCAACTCCACAGTTGCATAACAATTCATGGCATTTTTTCGCATGTGTTTTATGACATTTTCGTGGTGTTCCTTAAATGATGTAAATATGAGCCTACTTAACCTAGAAAATATTCACAAACACATGCCTTTTTCAGCTAGCCCTCATATGCTTTGCATATTGAATTAAATAAATACACAAACACTTCTTATTCTTAAAATGATAAAGTAATTAAGTTTACAATACATGCAAAGAAGCTTTTTAAAAACTAGGATACTTTCTTTAACAATTACAGTGCTAATTAATGCTGTACGTCTCGGTTATATGTAAAATAACATCTCATTGTTGCTGCTTGTGACACATTTGTTTCACATAAATCTTCTTATGCAGTCATAAGCATGAAATAAACAAAACAGATGGCATGAAAAACCTAATCCATACACATCCTTCGATATTTGACAGTTTTTATGTTGCATCTGTGAACTAACTACCCTGTCAGATTTGATCGAGTGAAATTATGACTAAATTTCAGAAGACTGATAAAATTATGATGTGAAAATTTAAAAGAAATTAAAATCAAAGATAAATTGAACAGTACAATCAAAAAAGAAACGCCTATAAACATATAGTACAAAATCTGTAATCCGGACCTCAAAACCACGAACATGTGCGCTTAATGCGCACGTCCACTATGCATGCGTGTAAAGCGTTTACCCATGCGCTCTTCCGATAGTGAAGAAAGTGACTGAGAGGTTATTGAAAGCGAAAAAATTTTGATTAACAAGTTAGTCGGTATTCTCGACACAGCAATTACAGGACTTGAACAGTGGAACTTTGTAACTGAATAAAAAATCATGCCTTCTTTTTAGGAGAAATGCTCAGAATTTTTAAATGATATGTCATAGTTAAAATGAAGTGAAAATAAAATGTTCTAGACTGACAAGCTAAAACATCTAGTTAACATATCACCTTAAAATATTTTGGGGTTTTCATCCGCAGGGAACCCGTTGGCTCAGTTGCATTTTTACTCACCAAGCTCGCGGCTCCATAAACGTGATATTTTGTAAACGTGGTTTTTAATGTATGTAAATTCAAGTTAGCAGACAATGGTAGTAAAAATTCACAGATAATAAGTATGTAGATGTAAAACTAACAGGTTAAACGTGATATACGAAAATAAATTTGTATTAAATTCAAGTTAGCACAGAAAACAATATATTAAATATAAAGGGAAGTAAAAATTCATTTAAAAAATAAAAGTTAGTATTCTTATACTTACGTTTACATTATACTTATATGGTACTCTGCTTGTTGACTGATGTATTTCGGTAAGAGCCATGCTCATGTAATAAATTAATGAATGCATGACCTTTAGTACATCCATTTTACAAAAAGTTTTCAGTAAAATATATATATCTTTTTCAAGTAACTTGCATACAGCTTAAAGCATTTTGGTAAAATCCTAGTATACGGGCAGCCTGGCACGATTGAAAATATCGCAACCCCAAAAATGACCCAAAGACTCTATGTATAACTACACTACATACTAGTATATACTATGTATAACTATATATATTCTTTGAATGACCCGTTTATACTTCGTTTACTTTTTATTCGTTTTTACTGCTCATCATAAAGCTGCCAAATCCCGTATGCCCAGATACGAGGATTAAACCAGCTTTTCATTGAACAAATACCTGTCCCTTTTTAAAATATATTTCACAATACAATAACCTCAATAGTAATCAAATTTTCTTTTGGTCATTTTAATAACTAGAACTTTATACATTTTAAATTATTATAGGATTTGGCAACCTCATGGTCTGCGTGCTTACAGCTTTAATATTAAGAACATAATGTGAACAGCCTTGTTAAATTAGCATTCACCCTCTCCGCCATATTTTCTTATTTTGATCCTGAACTGACGAGCCGAGAACCGGCATCTTTCGACGAAAACTTCTTTAATTATGCGAAAATATTTCTATCTATTCGTTGTTAAAAAATTCAGAAAAAATAATAATAAATAAGAGAAGAATAATATAAATCTCCAAATGCGAACAACAACCTTGCACAAGCGAATAGGATGAATTAGCTAGGTTACCAGGTTTGAACTATTATTGCCAAAGTTGGAGATGTTTACATTTACCGAGTTCTTAGCGGAAGTGCTTCCATATTTTATTTCATTTTAAGTTCAAATATTAAACTAAAAATAAATGGACCAAGATTATTCCCAAATTCAAAATAAACATGCTTCTAAATGAACTATGCACAATGGAAACAAATGCTAGAACTGAGCATACATTTCAAAAGAAACAATAAGTATATTGGGGGGGGGAGAACTAAATGCAAACAATCCAAAACATAATCGCAATATAAATTACTGCTTAACTACATAAAGAGCTTAGCATCTCGATAAGATGCAAAATATTTCTGGATGAAAAACTACATACAAATTCATTACATAAAATCTCTTAAAATGTAAATAAATTGACTAAAATATTTTTTTTTCAATCAAATTCACCAAACTTATTATGTTATGCACTGGCCACTTTATAAGTGAAAAATTATGAAATTCACTGGATTAAGTTTTAACTGTTAGGTAGCATTAGTTTTCCATTATTTCAAACATCCTAAATGTTTTCACTACATGAATTTCATGACCAGTTGTCACATGAAAATAACAGTTGTCACTTATGGGAAATATTTGTTTGCACACAATCCATTAAAGAAAAATGTATAGCTCCATCTTAAAAAAATTAGGCCTTTTTTTTTATCATTAAATAAGTGATGAAGCCACCACATGGTACTTAACCGATTCCTTTTCATGGTTTTCCCCATGTGCAACATGTATACGAGGTAGTTTCCCTTAGAAAGTTCTCCATGAAGGAATCCCTCCCCTTATGTAGATAGCCCTCAAATGCTTTGCCGTAATTATATAAACCAAACTAAATTTATTAACTGATCACTTCTATTTCTAACAGCGTATTTCAAATACATGATTTTACTTTTTGCATTTCCATTTTTGAAGATAATTCCTAAAATATGTAAGCCTATTATTACTGGAATATGAATGTTAAGTTCATTTTTATTATTTTAAAAATTGTTTTTATTATTTAGTGGTAAGTCCCTGAGGTGCTGCAATAATACCTGAAATTTTTTACTTGTATCCCCCCCCCAAGTTTCAAGTCTATGACCCTTGTTTCACATAATTTTTAATAATTACACATCACAGCAGTTAACTTTTAAAATGAAAACAGAAAAAGGATGTTATTAAAATATTTATTAGGAAAAAATTACCCAACTGATCAAAATTAAGCAAGTTTACACTATGAATGAATGAAGGTATGAATACTGCCTTTTTTAAGCATTACAAAAAAAAATTTATTTCTGGAGAAGAAGTTAAAATTCGTATATACAATCTACAGTCTATATTCATTTGACCGTCTAATTTCTAATTACACAACTTTTTATAAAGTTTAATCTTATGTTTATAATCATACTATAACATGACGAAACTCAATTTTGAATATTCAGCCACAATTTAAGTTAATTTAACAAAACGGTAAAAACGGAAAATAAAATTAAACTAAAAGGCTACAGACGTCCAAAATTAACCACAGTAAGTTTAGCATACTGTATATTTTTGCGAAATAATGCCAGATAAGATACGATTGTAGATATATTAAACATTTTTCTGACATACATACGACTGAACATGATTTCACGTGAAGTAGGCTTACGTGCACATGAATGTCATTCATAAAACTGCATCTTATGGATCGAAATTTTAGGAGAAACTAAGTGGAGTTACTGATTTTATGTTACGTAATGTTTCTAAATGCAGACCATCTATTAACAACGCGCAAGACATAAGTAATGAAAAAAATAAACATGCCGGTGAGCAATACAAAAGCGGCGGTAAGCAGCATCGTAACCACTCAGGTGACACCAGAAATCTACGATATGGAAAATTTTTTTTAAAAATGAAGCAAATACTTACCTTGTTGTAACACCTTGTACGCTTGTGAAAAAGGTTTCACTAATTCTTGCGCTTTTATGAGTTCATTAATAACATCATTATTAATTTTGGCATTTGAATCCTGGGCCGCCATTTCGATTATGAAAGCCAAGCCAAAAAGGTTTTCTTGTTGACTACTGTTGCCAGATACTTAAATTGACTTTTCCGTAAAGAAAAATTAAATTTCCCACAAATTTGTTGCTTTTTTGTAAAATACTTAGACGAAAACGAACTACTAAAACGTTTTCTAGTACATTTTGAAATGATTAATAACATTTAATGTAATGTTTATTTTCCTTTATAGTAGCCTTTGTTATAAGCTGTTTTCCCCCGTTTTGGAGTTCAGGCTGTTCTCCGAACCTTATCCGAGATTATCACACAAGAAGGTTGACTATGATATTACTGCAGTAACTTTTATTTTACCATTTCTTTCCCTTTATCTCTATGGTAGAAATTTTAACGTTAATTGCCAATTAGTTCAAAATTCCCTAAATAAGACAAAAATAAAAATATTACTAAACTAATGTTTTTCAGAAAATTAAGGTAGTTTTGATTACTAAACCTTTCTTTATCTTAGTTTATTATCATATCGAAAGGCGAATCAGCATCTTTAAATCTTGCAACTAAAATTTACTAAATCTCTAGAAGACAATGAATATCATTTTGGAAAGAAGAGGAAATATCTGTTAAACACAGCGCATGACTGCCCAAGTGCATCGAAATATTTTCTCAAAGACGATCACTGCATGTATTCTTTTCCCTCCTCGAAGAACAACCTAAATATCTACGGATATTTCTTCCATTCTCTCTTTGTAGTCTTTATGGTCTTAATAATCTAAGGATCAGCATTATGTCTACGTTTCTGATGCAGTGTTGGTTTGGTTATTACGCTCGTCATTTACTGAACTGTTTGTCTGGGGGATAAATTTCACGTCGGCTTTGGGCGATAATAGAGCGAAATGCAGTAACTCGAAATTTAGACATCAGTTATCCAGTATAACAAATCTTGGTCTCAATATGATATATGGGATATTTATAACGTCTATTTAAAAACTGGTTGCATTTGCTTTTATCGTGTGCCTTTATCACATAATTATAAAGAAAAATATTGTTGTAGATGCCTTGTTAGCTGTAAAAACAGTGAATAAATGAATGAATAAATTCTAATTAGCATGATTCGGATAGCTAAATAATACATAACCCTCCTTAACTTCAATTGGTATTTCGAATTCAGGACTTGCTAGTTGTTTCGGTTCTGTCAATATTTCGGGAACGCAAACTTTTCAGAGATAATTAATTCAATCTATGACAATTTTACTCGCTGTATATAGCAGTTCTCAACTTTTTTTGTTAAATTCACCCATTTAACCAGTGTAGTATCATTTTTTCTCCTTTCCAAAATTCGAAAAATAAATATATATGATTATCTAAACTTAGATGATTTTTAACGTGTAACAATTAAACAACAAACAGTCCAGAAAATGCTGATAAATAGCCAAAAGTGTATACCAATGTATACACTTTATAATCTGTATATATTATGTATCTAAGTATAATCATTGTGAAGTCAGTTTAATGGCTGTGGAATCCAAAGGAAAAAGTCTTTGAGTAGTAAATATAAGAAATTATGAAACTTTGTCCTAATTAAAACAATTGGATATATTTTTAATGAAATTTAATTTGCATATTTTTATAGCTATGAAATTGAGATTCCAGTACATGAGGTAATATTCCATTCATATCAGGAGTGGATTGGCTCAACCGCACTAAAAAACTACAATCCACAGGAAGTGCATGTGGTGCCATCTACTAACCAATACTGAAGTTAGAAACACACATTAGAAGTTACAAACAGATATTTACAATAAAACTGCGTATTATTTATTAATTATTGGATTTAATAATTTTTAACACTGAATATTTCTGTATGTACAGTTTGTTAAAACAGACACAAGCAAAAAAACCCCATTATTTTATCTTAAGTTTATTCGCATGAAATAAATATTTCTACATAATGTTTCTTGTGTTTTTGTTACTTACGTATAATATCCGCAGTCCTTGCTACTGTTACATGCTTGATGATGTTAAAATACATATCCTCTTTATGATTTTAGAATGAGATGATCGAATGCAATGCCGTCTTTAATGCCTTAAAACCCCTAGCTATAAATATATGTTTCTGACGTTGTCATTTAAAATTTGTTACGTAAAATTAAATTACTTGTTATTTTGATATACATTATGAACATTTATATTAAACTTATTAAATATATGATTTAAAGCAATAAAGCATTTCAAAAAATATTTTTAATGTCTATTCGGTTGCTGTTTAATGCTTAGGAAGCTATATATTCGATTACTGCGGCAAAAATATTATGGAAAATATAAATTAATAATTTACACACTATGACAAGACATATGCATGATATAGATGTGTCAAATTGGGTATACTCCAACTGCGCTAATGAAAATCCTTCCCGGGTCGAGCTATAGTCCAACTGCGCCAATCAGAATTTGTTCCCCCTGCTGCCCTGGGTTACAATTTAACTTTTCGAAGCCAATTGTAGCCAAGAGGAAAATAAAAATAAAGAAATAGAATTACATATCACGAGACCAAGTAAAAAACTATCTAAGAAGCAGGCTAATTACTTGAATAACAGTAATAAATGCGAGAGTTAACAAAAAAAAAAGAAAATAAAAGGTATTGGTTAAACATACATATTAGCATTACAAACATCTTTCATTTATTATAATAATATCATAAATTAAATAATTATAAAGCATACAATATATTTTTAAATAATTACATCAATAATAGTCAAGATGTCTGAACTAGACTGGAAAATTTAATAGAGTTCACTAGCGTGCAAAAAGTTATTCCATATCAAAGCGTGTTAAAGTTTGCTAAAAATATTTTTTGTTAATTAAAGTAATCATGTAAATGTTTGCAGAAATTAAATTTAGTTAAATTTAAAAAAAGCTTAGCATGAAATCTATTATAACAACATTACTATGCATTTGGAACACTGACGTAAAAATCGTAAATAAATTTAAATTATTATGCTAAGAAGTTTTTTTCTAAAATTTATCTAAAAAAAGGAATTAGATAAACAATACTGCAAATTAATATAATCAGTCAGGCCTTATTATTATTATTATTATAATAAGGCCAAAAATTAAATTTATTTTTTAATTTTTAACCAAAAATTAAAAATTGGGATGCAAAAGTTTGAGTAATATACTTGGAAATATCTGAACATATAATTAATTAGAAATATATAATTAAATTAATAACAAGCTAATTAACAGTAACATTAAGTTTAATTTCATTCAATCTAAAACAAGCAATCGATAAGGAGCTCAGCATTAATTGAAGTTTTAATGCTATTTTACGTAGATTTGCGTATAAAATAAAAGTTGCACTTGTGAAAAAAGTGAATAATGTACTATAGTCAACAGGAATTAAAATACAGTGGTTAAAAATATAACTACTTGTCAGAAGGTATGCAAAGTTGCCATGGCTAGAGAAATTGAATGGTTATAGAAAACTCATAAAGTTAAGAGCTACAGTGTGAAAAGAAAATTCTGGAATAAAATTAGATGGAGAAATAATCCTTAATGTATTGATATCCATATAAACTCTATCCTTTCGGAAAAATGTTATAATAATAATAATAATAATAAGGCCTGACTGATTATATTAATTTGCAGTATTGTTTATCTAATTCCTTTTTCTAGATAAATTTTAGAAAAAACTTCTTAGCATAATAATTTAAATTTATTTACGATTTATACCTCAGTGTTCCAAATGCATAGTAATGTTGTTATAATAGATTTCCTGCTAAGCTTTTTTTAAATTTAACTAAATTTAATTTCTGCAAACATTTACATGATTACTTTAATTAACATAAAATATTTTTAGCAAACTTTAACACACTTTGATATGGAATAACTTTTTGCACGCTAGTGAACTCTATTAAATTTTCCAGTCTAGTTCAGACATCTTGACTATTATTAATTTGCATCGAGGTATCAATCACCGAAACCGAGTTAATTTTTTTCCTTATTTTTTCTTATTAGAGGGATTTGTAAAAAGATATGCTAAGGTAAAGGTGAAACTTTTTGCAATAGTTTTAAAGAATAAATTAAGTATTTTTACTTCATGAACTGAAATTTCTACGCTACATTTTTACACAGTAAATAGTAAAAAAAAAAAAAAAAAAAAAAAAAAAAAAAAGCTGGGGATCTCTGGGATTAGAACTTGGATCGAACTACCAATGTTTAGTGACTTTTCCGCTTGATCGTAAGATCTTTTGAAATTCGAAATTTAAGCTGAATAATATATTAAAGAAAGTAGAAGACACAAGCACATGTAAAAAAAAGTGGGCCTGAATTATAGATTCTACATGTTTGGTGAATGAGTTAAATATAGATAAGTATGCCATACAAACAAGTATGTCATTATGAAATATTAGGAATGTAGCATAAAAGCATCAATGAAGAAAGCAATGGCAATCTAAAACACTGTAATCTAAATGTATAATATTATCAGTATATTTGCTATTAATTTCAATACTGCTGAAAAAGTTATAAATGAATAGCATTATAAATCACACGAACTCGTTGCATTATAAATTACAACGTTAGAGATGTTATTAGCGTGATTTAGCGACCATCATTGCTAACAAATTTCAAGTAATTAATTTTACAAATAATTCAGCCCTGAAACTAGGTTTAGAAAATAGCTACATGCTGAGATTAAGCTTTGCCAAGGTGTTAGAAACATCTTCTATTAACTAGAGTTGTGATGCAAGAATTTGTAAAAATTATCATTTAAATATAAATTCGCATTAATACAATACAAAGTATATAAATTCTACATACATGAAAACTGAGTACAGTGCAACAATATGAGAAAAAGGAATGGATTAAAAGGGAAACTGAAATTCCAGGATATAAATAAAAGGGAGTTTGAATTTTTTTATTAATTATGAAAATCTGCTGATGCTCATAATTATTAATTTATTAATTAAATGTGTATTAGAAATTAAATGTATGCCAAGTACATCAGGTGGAAAATAAATATTTAAACGTTTCTAGTATTAAAATATGGAATTTGTAACAAAGTTTAAATAACCTT